TGCATTTAGCGAGAAAGTCAAGCGTTTGCTTGAAACACGCTTTGCGCTTGTGCAACTCGTCCTCGTTATTCCAAAGGAACCCTAAAATCTTTGATTTTCACCATTTCATATTGAATGAAGCTCACTATCATTAGCATTCGAAATGGGAAAGGGAAATTTTGAAGTGGAAAATTTACTTGAGAACTCCCTTCGAACGTCTTTTTATGTTCATGCTTCTCAGCGATTTGTATTACATATCAAATCATTTTCATGTATTTTGAAGTGGTCCCGGAGCTATTTTTTGTGTCTATAAAATCTGACTAACCTGTTGTATTCTTTGAATCATTCTTATCTACGCATGAATTTTACAGGCATACTCTCAAATCGCAGAACAACTGCAATCAGTAGTGCGATGGAAAGGAGTATCATGTACATTTCCAAAAAATGCGGCGGTTTTACAATACTTGCTGGTTTCTCCTTTGTATGGTGAAAAAGGTTTGTTTAGACACTATTCTTGTGTTCAAAGTGAAATTCAAATAAGCTCTGGAATATTCGTCATTTCTTAACTTACAGAATCGATGCTTTCATCTTTTGAATGTGAACCGGCAGAAAGTGCGTCTGAACGGGAACAGTTGAAGAAGCTGAAAGTACGGTCGTGAATTATATGTCAAGAACTACGATTCGAGGCCATAACATGGTTAATGATTGCATGACTCTCCCTCCAACTGCCAATTTTTCTAGTTTTTAACACCTAGTCTTATAGCTTTAATTATCATGGGTCTACCCTGTATTCTATCATTCCAATTTCCTTTGTTTTTATAACAGGAATTCAATAAAGAGCTTCTATTATCAGTCTGCTGTACATCATGACAATATAAATGTCGCCCTTATTTTGAGTTCAAAGATAGTTTTTTGAAATTATACGTTTCAAAGGCATTGCCTATCCAAAACAATTATCAATAACTTCACTCTACATCATTAGTTGACTTTTTATCTGAGCTAGTTCCCAAGTCTGACCGACAATTTCTTCAACATAAGCGAGACAACTGCTCTGATCCCCAATGGCCGTCACATCTGCGTCATCTAAATTGCGATTCCTCTCTATCCCCTAGTGATTCCGAAAACTAAGAGAATCAGCGATC